ATAACAAAGAAACAGAGGAAAAGCAATATGTCACCCGACATTGTTGATCGGGTGACATAATAATAATAGGGAAAAAGAAACAGAGGAAAAGCAATATGTCACCCAACATTGACGATCGGGTGACATAATAACTAGATTTGCCATTGCAAGCAATAGCAGATGTCACCCTTCCCCCCATTGCCACTAAGTGGCAGCCATTTCAAAAATTTTAAACAGTGAATGCACATATATGCATGGCAATACATCTTTCTTTAAATTTTCAGAACATTTGGAGCATTTTGAAATTTTCACATTTTTGCTGTTTCCATGGCAACAGTGACCATTTTGGAAATTCCAAAGTCAAAAGTCTTATCTATACATGCCAGTTAGCATTAATATAAAGTTATACTAAGTTTGGTGCATTTTGAAATTTTTGACATTTTTGCTGGTTTCCATGGTAACAAAGACCATTCCCAAAATTGTATGCCACATTGGTTCATGGGAGGGAACATACCATTAAAGATTCAATGGATTTGACCTACCAATTTAAGAGAGAAAATGCTACTTTAAGGTTTTTCCCATAAGGTTTATAATGACAAACCTTTCCCCAGTTCCATGGCAATACAGTAGTTCCGATGATTCTTAAAATCATCCAAAACCTGTATATAGTGGATACCTATGTTGTATAAAAATTTGATGATTTTTAGGTTAGGCATTCTCAAATTAGTCATCAAAAACAAAAAAAATATTTTTCACATTTTTGCTGTTTCCATGGAAACGGCGGCCATTTTAAAGTTCCAAAGTTTCACTGCAACTCCACTGATGGTGGTCCTCATTATGCTCAACAATCATGAAGATTGGTTCCATTGCCTCCGAGAAAACTGCTGGACAAAATTAGGTGGAAGAAAAATAATAATAATAGGGAAAAAGAAACAGAGGAAAAGCAATATGTCACCCGACATTGTCGTTCGGGTGACATAATAAGAACTGAGCAAAAACAATAAGTCTTCCCAAACTTCGTTTTATACCACATCTCCTTATTTTTACTTGGCGGATAGCTGTCTCATTGGCAATCATACCACATCTTATTTTTACTCTGCTAATAGTTCTCATTGGCAATCATACCACATCTCCTTATTTGTACTCTGGCGAATAGTTCTCATTGGCAATCATACCACATCTCCTTATTTTTACTCTGGCGAATAGTTTTCATTGGCAATCATACCACATCTCCTTATTTTTACTCTGTTTTATAGAGTTTATAATTCTATAATCTGTTTTATAGATTTGTAAAATTTCAAGCAATATTTATTTGAATAGGCCAGATATTTATTTGAATAGACCAGATGTTTACACAGGTGTTAATAGAGCTTCCTCTATAATGATTTACTTTCTTTATTATAGAAGTGCTACAGATTTGATTGACATCTTAAAATTGATAATTATAATTATTGTCACATCAACTGCTGAGAAGAGCCTACTTAAAAAGCTCTGAGCATCCTCGGAGGATGCTCCGAGCTTCCTCGTAAGAATAAATCTATAATCCCTAAATATTTTCCACTTTTGTTATATGGTATATTTATTGTATAAACTATATTATAAGTACTATTTTAATTACCAACAAAGAGCATAATAATTTTATTATTCATGTTAAAAATTCCATGCACAAAACAGTATCTGGAGGTACCCTGTAAAAACACGAAATTTGGAAAATCGTGACCATGGAAACTTACGACGAGAATCATAGTCATAAAATATAATGATTTTCCTATAATTTGCAAAAACAATTAGCCGTGTGTTATCCGTTAACTTAAACTTGTTAACTAGAAGACTTTTTGGACATTGGGCACCATACTAATTGGCAATCATACCACATCTCCTTATTTTTACTTTGGCGGATAGTTCTCATTGACAATCATACAACATCTCCTTTTTTTACTTTGGAAGATAGTTGTCTCATTGGAAATTATACCACATCTCCTTATTTTTACTTGGCTGATAGTTGTCTCATTGGCAATCATACCACATCGCCTTATTTTTAATATATGAGATCTTCTTATTTTTACTTTGGCGGATAGTTCTCATTGGCAATCATATCACATCTCCTTATTTTAACTCTGGCTAATAGTTCTCATTGGCAATCATACCACATCTCCTTATTTTTACTATAGCAGATCTTCTTATTTTTACTTTGGTGGATAGTTCTCATTGGCAATCATACCACATCTCCTTATTTTTACTCTGACGAATAGTTCTCATAGGCAATCATACCACATCTCCTTATTTTTACTTTGGAAGATTGTTGTCTCATTGGCAATTATACCACATATCCTTATTTTTACTTGGCGGATAATTGTCTCATTGGCAATCATACCACATCTCCTTATTTTAATTTTGGCCAATATTTGTCTCATTGGTAATCATACCACATCTCCTTATTTTTACTTTGGTGGATAGTTCTCATTGGCAATCATACCACATCTCCTTATTTTTACTTTGGCAGATAGTTCTCATTGGCAATCATACCACATCTCCTTATTTTTACTACAGCAGATCTTCTTATTTTTACTTTGGTGGATAGTTCTCATAGGCAATCATACCACATCTCCTTATTTTTACTTTGGCAGATAGTTCTCATTGGCAATCATACCACATCTCCTTATTTTTACTTTGGCAGATAGTTCTCATTGGCAATCATATCACATCTCCTTATTTTTACTTTTGCAGATAGTTCTCATTGGCAATCATACCACATCTCCTTATTTTTACTTTGGCAGATAGTTCTCATTGGCAATCATACCACATCTCCTTATTTTTACTTTGGCAGATAGTTCTCATTGGCAATCATACCACATCTCCTTATTTTTACTTTGGCAGATAGTTCTCATTGGCAATCATACCACATCTCCTTATTTTTACTTTGGTGGATAGTTCTCATTGGCAATCATACCACATCTCCTTATTTTTACTTTGGCGGATAGTTTTCATTGGCAATCATACCTTATCTCCTTATTTTTACTCTGGCGAATAGTTCTCGTTGGCAATCATACCACATCTCCTTATTTTTACTATAGCAGATCTTCTTATTTTTACTTTGCCGGATAGATCTCATTGGCAATCATACCACATCCCCTTATTTTTACTATAGCAGATCTTCTTATTTTTACTCTGACGAATAGTTCTCATAGGCAATCATACCACATCTCCTTATTTTTACTTTGGAAGATAGTTTTCTCATTGGCAATCATACCACATCTCCTTATTTTTACTTGGCAGATAGTTGTCTCATTGGCAATCATACCACATCTCCTTATTTTAATTTTGGCCAATATTTGTCTCATTGGCAATAATACCACATCTCCTTATTTTTACTTTGGTGGATAGTTCTCATTGGCAATCATACCACATATCCTTATTTTTACTTTGGTGGATAGTTCTTATTGGCAATTATACCACATCTCCTTATTTTTACTTTGGCAGATAGTTCTCATTGGCAATCATACCACATCTCCTTATTTTCACTTGGCGGATAGTTGTCTCATTGGCAATTATACCACATCTCCTTATTTTTACTTGGTGGATAGTTGTCTCATTAGCAATTATACTACATCTCCTTATTTTTACTTTGGAAGATTGTTGTCTCATTGGCAATTATACCACATCACCTTATTTTTACTTTGGCAGATAGTTGTCTCACTGGCAATCATACAACATCACTTTATTTTTACTTTGACAGATAGATGTCTCTTTGGCAATTATACCACATCACCTTATTTTTACTTTGGCAGATAGTTGTCTCACTGGCAATCATACCACATCTCTTTATTTTTACTTTGGAAGATAGTCTCATTGGCAATCATACCACATCTCCTTATTTTTACTTTGGTGGATAGTTGTCTCATTGGCAATCATACTACATCTCTTTATTTTTACTTTGGTGGATAGTTGTCTCATTGGCAATCATACTACATCTCTTTATTTTTATATCAAATGATAATACCAACTAACAAATACTAAAAACTTTGCATTTATATGATTTTTAAAGATTTGTAAAATATGTAAAATCATACCACATCTCCTTATTTTTATATAACCATGAAATATTAACATTGACGAATGAACCATGAAAATAAGGTAAAGGTCATATAAACCATTCGGAAAGACAAACATGATTTCCTTACAAGCATATCATAAACCAAAATACAGCTGATCTATTGCTTATAGTATCTGAGAACCTGACCAAACCACAAACACTTAACACTGACCAATGAACCATGAAAATAAGATCAAGGTCTGCAAATCCTAACAGACAAACATGTTCACCAAACAAGCATTCCATACACCAAATATAGCTGACCTATATATTGCTTATGGTATCTGAGATATGGACTTCATCATGAAATTTTAACCTTGATCACTGATCCATGAAATGAAGTCCTGGTCAGGTGAATGCAGTGTGACAGACATGTAGACCTTGCAGGAAAAAATGGTACAATTGGTCATTCAAGGGTAATAACTCCTATAAGTAGTTGTAGGCCAATTTTGATCGATTCAAGTGGACAGTAGGTGGATGTAAACATTCTGAACATTTCTGCCTGTCAGAATTTCTCGACCTATAGCAGTTTTCAAGATAATAGACAAAACTTGCATTCTACCCATAAACTCCATTTTGAGCCATGTCAGCCATGTTGGTTGGCAGGGGGAAAGGTCATACGAATGCACTTTTTAATTATCACCATCATGCATAAAATTTTACTTGATTACTTTAATAATGAAATTGTTAAGTCTTTCTATCTAAAATTACCACCACACATCAAATTTGAATAAAAGTCCCCACCCTCCCACCCCTGCCACTCCAATTCAAATAATTCTGGAAAAGCCCTAAGCAATTTCATTGGATGACGCTTTTAAATCAAGTATAAACCTTTTTTTTTAAATCTGATAATAAAGGGATTTCTCATTATAAATGTTTAACCAGATGGATATATATCATATATAGTTTACAAATAATGTACACTTACCTATGATAAAAACTTGACTGGACAAGGATAATGACTGGACGAGGGTCACATTGACTGGACAAGGGTCTAATAAATATCAATAATAGATGTTCAATATGGAAATATAAATGTTTGCATTAAAGTAGAAATAATAACATGTAATAAAGACTCTTTGAATACCACTTTGACATCTCTCATTGATTGGTTTCTGTCTGATTGACATAGACCTCCTAGGATTCTGAAAAAGCACAGAGATGAAATCTTATTGCTACATAATTATTGTTTTAGTCTTCATGATAAAATAGAGAAAGGAAATGACATCAAATTTTATCATTTTTAAACATTTGCTATAAAATGATATGATTATATGCATGCTTAGTTGATACAATATTTTATGATCCTTATGCATCTTTAGATTCATCTGTTTTGAAAATGATGAGTCCAGACCAATTTTCATGAATCCATGACTCATTGACTACCTTATTGAGAACACTATCTCCCATCTTTCATTCATACAGCTGATTTCTTAGTTAACAACTCTATTGTTATATACAGTTTATATTATAATGATTGATGGACGTTAAGCAACCAACAATCAATCAATTGTAATGATTGCAATGTTTTATTAGCTTTTTACTCTTAAATGAAATTAAATATGTAATAACTTCATGTTATTTTTGTATAGAAGTTACAGAGTGAAAAATGTTAATCCTGTTAAAAAAGAATTAAAAAGCACTGGACTGGTGTAATGCTACTTACTAGAATGAACCATGCAGCTAGTTCTTGATTATCTCCCCTTTTAGAATTTTAATATTCACATGAACATTGTAAATCATTTGATAAACTAAATTATTAATCGTTCCAATCCAATTTGACTATTATGTTCACTTACCTATAGTAATAAATTGACTGGACTTGAATAGATGAATACAAATAGATCTTCAAACTGAAAGTATAAAATAGCTCAATTTCAGTTTACATCACATCTGTTTAAATATTTGTTAACTTTCTCTGAATTTTTATATAATTGTCATTAAATGAAAAAAAAAAAGAGGTCTAAACCTTTCATAGTTCCATACAAAGCTCAGTGTAATTGTTTTTAAAATTAATTCATAATAGTTTGAAATAAATGGGGAATGTGTCCATGGGACACAGCTGATGCCCCCGCTTGCATATAATGTTATGAAGGGACATAAGTCGGAATACACTTTCTATTTGACCCCACCATGCATAAATTTTTAATTAGATATTTCCTTTAAATGTTCAAGCAATCTTTCTTAGAATAACCACCACCCATCAAATTTAAATAAAAGTGCCTTCCGACCCCCCCCCCCCCCATACAATTAATTCTGGAAAAGCCCTAATAAGCATTGTGCATAAGTTTCATAACATTTGGTTGAGTTTAACTAAAGTTATAGAACGGAATAAAAATTTCAGCAATTTTTCCATTTGTAAAGGGGCATAACTCTAGAACAGAAAAAGTGACGCCATCAAATTCAAACTTGATCTGTGTTTTGTGGTAATAAACGAATGGAAAACAACTGTCATATTCCTGACTTGGTACATGAAAGCCTGTTATTAGCCAGATTATTCTCTAATGGAGTCATTTTGGTCATGCCGCTCAAATGTTAATAGTCAAACTTTTTAATCTGAATTTCCACTTTATAAGGGTTAATTATATTTTTGTTTTTCACAAAGGGGGAACTTTGTCTACATCTCACACCCTGGCTACAAATGTGGTATGTTTACCTGAAAGACAATAAACATATCACTGTTTATTAATTCCTTTTCAGTCTAAACTCCTCAGATTTATCTCAAGAATGCCTTACGTTACAGTTTTTTTATTTACAAATCTTCCTCAAGCTGCTGTGTTTAGTGCACATTTTGAATAAGCATATGACAATTTTGACAAATCAAAAGTCAATGCTCCACCAGTCAACGTCTTCTACATATGTTAAAACTTTTTTTTTAAACTAGATACCCTAATGATGATTGTGGACAAGTTTGGTTAAATTTGTCTTAGTAGTTTCAGAGGAGAAGATTTTTGTAAAAGATTACAAAAATTTACGAAAAATGGTTAAAAATTGAATATAAAGGGCAATAACTCCTAAAAGGGAAAATTCGTGATTTTTTACTTATCATCTTATTATGTTCATAATACCATAAAAAACATATTCACCAAGTTTTATCTCGATATGAAAACTAATAAAGAAGAAAATTGGGAATTATTAATTTTATTTATTCGAACTTCCTGACTTCTGTGACGTAGTTTAAGTCTTTTTGCATGCCGGGAGTGGAATTAATCTCATTTAAGTCTTGTTCGTTGATCATCTAATAACGCGATTTAAAGCGCATCGACGACTTTTGGCGTAGCTATTAACCAACTAATAATTAAGAAAGTAAAGTGATCAGCCGTGCAACTTTTAAAAATAAAATGTACGATTTATATTTTAGGGATTTCTGATATGATTATAGTCATTATAGTAATAAAAGTAAATCATACAATAGAATATTTTTATGAATTTTTTCCCGACGGATATTTTCAACAAACATATTTAACTGATAGGGCCTAAATTAATATTTTGTTTGTTTCCCCAATCCCGACCCTGCCAAGCAGGTGTGGGTAGGTAGGTAGGGAAATAATTTTATTTTTCCAAAAAGCTTGAACATTTTCTGATGATCCTGCAAGCCTGAAAATCGGAAATGAATAAAATAATATTTGACTAAGTTTTGACAATAAAATTTTATGAGTAGGACCATTTTTGCAGGGTCGGTCTGGATTGGGGAAACAAACAATATTTTATTTTAGGCCTAGTGTATTAAAAATGCATGTTTGTATTCTCACCTTTTACTTCAGTCTAGCAAACATTTTCCGCTAGTACCGTGTAAATACAATGTGTATTGTACTGCGACACTTAGTGACTACCTGTTGAATGCGTGGTTAAATTCAAGGTATTTAAAGGTTTGCATTCTGTAATTCTAATCTTTTGATCTTCACTCAGTGAATTTTAGCCGTCACGGTTCACCGTTCCAGGTGTGAACATCATTTCGTATGAATGATAAACGGGAGTGATAGTTTGAGACAGAAAATTAAAAAAAATATAATTATTTTGAGGGAGTAATATGGTGGCACAATAACTGGATAGCCGTGGTATATTTTTATATTTTCCGTAAGCTCAGTTTAAAATGAATTATGACTGCTGAATATTTTTGTAACAATGAAATACTGAATTAATTTAATTGAATAAATAATAATGGCATTCTAAACACGAGTGTATGAACTAAAAATTGTACTATTTTAAATTAGAATCAGTAACCTTGAATATTTGAAATAGATAATTACCAATTGCAATTATTTAATTTGGTCCGTCCAAAGCGATCTTTATTTACATATTCAGGAATTAATGTCCTTATCAAAATATTTTAAATCTCACAACGTATAAATACTTCAGCCATTTGAAGAAAGATAATTAAAAAGTTGACAAGAAATTTAAGGTCAACTTTGTCTTATTGGAATGAGATCGAATAATTAAGAACAAAAATCATTTTGAGAAATGTGGGTTTGAGACAGAAAAAAATAATTATTTGGGGAGGAATATGGTGGCAAAATACCTGAATCGCCGTTATATATATTTTTTATATTTTGCGTTAGCTCAGTTTTTAAATAGATGGGTGAGTATTTTGTTGTAACATCGGAATTCTGAATAACTTTCAATGAAATAATTTTATAAATAAAAATGGCCCACGAAAACGAGCGTATAAACCAAAAACTGTGCTATTTTGAATTATGATCGGTAACCTTGAATATTTAAATGTGCAGAGAAAATTATCAGTTACATTAATATAATTTGGTCCGTCCAAAGCGATCTACATTTACCTAATCGGGAATGTCCTTATTAAAATATTCTACATCTCACAACAAATACTTTAGCTATTTGACCAACGATGTTTAAAATTTTTTACAGAATCAATCTAACGTCAACTTGCCTTTATTGAATGGAGACAGACTGGCGGAATCAATGTTCAATGTGCTTTATATCTTGTACCTTTGTAAGACTTATCATTCATTCATAAACCATGTCTATATCGCAGACATATATATACATATAATTATATGTCTGTCTTAACTGACAAGAATACTCCTGCAGACCTGCCAACTTTTAAAAATCTCCATGGGGGATTAGTGCGTGACCAGATTTTTAAGGGTTACAATTTTTGCGGCGTTTCTGTGTGCACTGTTTTTTTACTCTTGAAATAGTCTCATATCTCTTCTTTTTTCTTTTAGTACACTGGTGATGAGCTAATAAGCCTTGATTTCTTTTATTTGCATGATTCTTGTACTTATTAATTGGCAAAATAACTTGAGAATAGAGAAAAATGGCCTAAAAAAAATAAAGTATACAAAATGAAGACCACCAAATTGTGATCGTATGATAAATTGATTAAAATTGAAATTATGCCGACTGACCGTTTCTGTTTACAAATTAATTAATTTTGAGGATTGTTATGACCCATCAGATAAGCAGATTACATGTAACAACAAATTATGACACCTGTTATCACACCTGTTGTGACCGTTGATTAGCACAGGGTCGTAAACTTGTCATAAATATGTCGCCTATATATATATGTATATATAGGTAAAATTATAGATTTAAAGAAATTGATCAGAAAAACTTCAAAATCGGTAACCAATAATTTTTTCGGGTTTATTTTGTGAAAATCAGGATTTTGACTTGTGTTACGATCCTGATATCGGGATTCGGGTTGAGGCATGAAAATCGGGATGATACCGCCAAAATCGGGATAGTTGGCAGGTCTGCTCCTGGTTTTACACTAGTAATTTGTTGGGGCGCTTTATAGCTTAATTGCTGTTCGGTGTGAGCCAAGGTTCCGTGTTGAAGACCGTACTTTGACCTATAATGGTTTACTTTTATAAATTGTGACTTGGATGGAGAGTTGTCTCCTTTGCACTCATACCACATCTTCTTATATCTATAAGCAGTATTATCTTTAAATTTCTGTGATTTGATACCAAGAAAGAAAAAAATCCCGAAATTAATTTGATACTTTGATACTCAATATTTTTCCTGGAAAATATTCACATCCTCATTCGGTCTGAAAATAAGATAAGAAACTGGTATACAGAACATGCAGAAGTGTGAATGTCATAAAACCTTGTTATATCAGAAACCATTATAAATGTGAACCTGTATACGTAAGACCTCATGGGACGATGTACCTAACCACATACAGGTAATATACAAGTAGCTCTGTTATACCCGGAAATGTCAAGGTTAATCACTACCGATACAGAATGTACCAATGCAAAGTAAATTCTGATGATTGTGAAGCATGACCATTCATGATTTTAGAGGAGTATTAGGTGGGGGATTGTCGGAACGATTTAAATTCTGACTAGATTTTTTCTCAAATTAAATCACTGAACTAAAAAAAAAAGAAAGGAGAAAACTACGTCCAAGAACAGAATTCTTCTTGTAAATTCATAAATACAACGTTCTTATTTTGTAACTTTCGATAGACTTGACCTCCAACCCCCCCCCCTCAAACCTGGGAACATTATATCTAACAATGTTTATGTTCCTGCCCAAATCAAAAAAAAAAAGAAGAAGAAAAAAAGAAAGAGATGAACCACTAGAGATGAACGGTAAGTCACATCAGATTCAGATATTTATATAGTTGATTGTCGTTAACTAGAGATGTATAGTTACATGTCTCTGCGTTAACTGATAAGAATAACAGGAAAGTATAAACTTGAAATAGATTTATGATGAATAATATGCAACTGCGGCACCCCTTTTTATCAAAGCGTACATGCATGTATTTTAATGACTGTCCGTTATTTCGATCATAATGACAATTGTACGTGAAATCCTATAGTTGGTGAGACTTTTTTTTTTACCAGATATGCCACTTTTCATATTT